TTAAAGGAGACATATTATGCCCCTTTTTACAATATGTAATATAAGTCTCTGGTGTCCCCAGAATGTGTCTGTGAAGTTTCAGCTCAAAATACCCCACAGATTATTTATTATATAATTTAGAAAATGTTGAGTGGAACCAGAAACAGGCTGTTTATGTGCATGTCTCTTTAAATGCAAATGAGCTGCTGCTCCCCGCCCCCTTTTCCAGAATAGAGCTGCACCATTACAGCTCGTACCTGCTAAAAAACATCTGTTTGGTTTTGATTATCATGTGCATCGCATTAAAATCATGTGTTTTAAGCCATATTAGTTTAAACTTCTGATATACGGGTTTTCTGAGCGCACACATCCGAAGCATCTGTCACACGGCATGCAAGTACTAAACTAAGCTCTATTTCATGTCTCATTGCGCTTAAACTGTCAAATACACACAAGTTACAAAACTAGTGGGTTATGTCTGTGACGGTAAACAGCTGGGATGTTTATATTAGATCTGTGACAGGTGTGTGACGGAGGCGGACCTGCTTGAGGAACTCCTCGAGAGCCATCTCTCCCTGCGCCACCAGCAGCACGTCCTTCACCACCATCTCGTTCTTCTGCAGGTCCACGTCCCAGATCTGACCCAGACTCAGCTCGGACAGAACCCAGTTCACATGCAGACGCTTCATCAGCTGCTTCCAGTGCCGGTCCTTCAGCGCCTCTGACTTCAGCTCGATCACCAGCATGTTCACCTGAGAGGACACAGGGAACGGTTTAGGTGTTTCAGCGGCTCTATCCCAGCATCCTCAGCTGGTAACGCAGGACCGGCTCACCTTCATGTACCCCTTGAGCAGTCTCTGCACGTACTCGTAGGAGGCGTACTGCCGCAGACGAGCGGGGAAGTTCTTCAGCTGGTTGAGGAGAGCGTCCAGACTCTGGCGCAGCTGTACAGAAGAAGAACACCGACTCAGTGAAAGCCAGGCTCGGGTACGAGTCACACGAGACGGCAGATGTGTCGCTCACCTTACGCGGCTGCACAGAGACCCACGGCTGCTCCTTCATCTGATCGATCTGCTCCCAGACCTTCGACAGCTCCGACCAAACACCCTTCAGATCCTGCAGCTCCTCCAGAGCCACCTGACGAACAACACGGACACGACACGCGTTAACAAGAGCAGAATCTTCAACATACAGTTTGATCTCTAAATGACGTGTGAGAAAACTGGAAAAAGTCAATATTAAGCTAACTGAACCCAGCGTGTTTTCATGCACTGCACAGTTTTGAGCTCTGTTTTTCTTCCATATCACGACTAGTGGAAAGAAAACATCCAAAATACACATTTAACAGTTTATTTTAATCGCACTTTATCTATAGATTTCAATCTCAATCCATTAGGGATGTAACGATGCACCGTGAGCCGGCTGAACATCGATACAAATATGTGATGATTCAAATCGGTTGAGATGTTAAACGAATCGCGATACATTTGGGGGTGGAGTTTATATGAATGTATCACTGAGGGGAACTGACAGTCTTTAGAAAAGTTTCAATGATAGTTTCTTTTCATCTCGTCTCTGTATAGTTCATACTAGTGTAGCGTTCATAAGCGCTGCTGCTTTGTTTACGGCGGTAACCAAGGAAACGCTGCATCTGCTGCTGCATGAGCGCCTCCTGCTGGCAGAGAGTGAATCTGCGTCTCATTCAGAGCTTCTGCGGTTTCGGTCTCGCTCAGATATGATTTATGTAGTATAGTTTCACAAAACTAAAGTCTGATCATTCGGTTTTTGTTTTAAAATGTCAAATTATACAATATAATTTAGATTAAAAACTGCTCATGCTGCATGTATTCAGCATCTTTGTTTGCATTGTGATTCAAATGCAGTGGTTGCCTCTAATTTTGAATGGAAAGAGCACAGACAAAATGTGAGTGTGAGAGTGTACACATCTTTTCACTTCCATAGTATTTTTTGGCATTCTATGGAAGTCCACGGCTACCAGCAACTGTTTGGTTACTAGCAGGCTTAACAGAGTGAGTAAATGAAGACAGAATGAACTGAAAACTGAAGACGAATGCAGAGCAAACACAAACACTGGAGCCACACCTGACGGAGCAAACGCAGTCAGTCTGGCGTCTGAACACGCTTCACTCGCTCACTCTAAGAGAAGACGCTACCTTGACGTACTGCTCCACCTCGGAGACGATCTCCTTCACTGCATTATAAGCTTCTTCCAGCGCAGACGGACCGTCAGGCATTCTGGTCAGAGCGTTCCTGTAGAACTTCTCCTCTTCTGATAACTCATAGTGAACGCCGACCTGCGTGAAGAGCGAACATCAAACCTGTGTGAGGGTTCTTTCTTCTGTGCAACACAAAAGATATTTTGAAAAATGTTAATAACCAAACTGCTGCTGGTAGCCATTGACTTGGAGCGGTCATAGCCTAATGGTTAGAGATGGACTTGTAACCCAAAGGTCGCAGGTTCGAGTCTCAGTGCTGGAAGGGATTGTAGGTGTGCGTGTGTCTGTGTGTGAGTGTGAGTAGGGTTGCAAAGGAGTGGAACATTTCCGGAAACTTTCCAAAAATCCCTGGAATATTCCAAAAGTTTTACTCAAATGAAACGGTCAAATACTCATGAAGTGACTCTCAGAGCAGTTCTGGAGATGTTGTTCATGTATTTATGGCCTCATTTAGTGCCGCTGAAATCACCGCGAGCGTCACACACGCTTCAGTACATGTGTAGTAAACGAAACCGCGCGTGTGCGCTATTCATTCACACACAGACATGCTGTAATTTTTACAGATACTAGTCCATATCATGATTTAATTGAAGTGTAATGACGTACTTTTGATTAATTCATCCAAACTTTGACAAATTCTGTGATATAACTGTAAATTCCGTTTTTATGACTGGATTCCGCGATTCCGTCCATGTTTTCGCATTGCGGAAATCATAGAGCCCTAATATTATAAAACTGATAGTTCCGGTCCTTGATTCTGATTGGCTGAGCCTCGTTCGAAGCTGTTGTAAATGACTCTACAAAGTAACATACACCTTTGTTTACGTTTGCGTGTTGCTCGGCAACCACTTTGTTGCAACCACAACTGTTTCTGAGGAGCTACATTGTTTGGTGGAAGAAAACGGTTTATTCTGTGGAACCTTACTACGTATATGGAATAACCATTTTATAAAAGCAGTAAGCCCTGTGAAGCCGTGAATTCACTGTAAACCACGGCTTCACGGGGCTTATTGCTTTAATAAAGAATGTGTGTGAGTCCAGTCATCTGACTGGTGCTCTAGTTTAACTGGTCTTGAGCTGGTCAACCTTTTCTTGGAAGTTGAAGACGGTTTCGGCCAGACGCTGGACGTACGGGTCGAGTTTGTAGGACTCCCAGACCAGAGAGATGCCCTCGGTGACGAGCGCCTGCACCTCCTTCTTCAGGCCGGCCACCAGCAGCGAGATGGACATCCTCTCCTCCACCTTCTCGCAGGTGCGCTCGTAGGTGCGGACGCTCTCGATGAGCGAGATGGCGAAGGGATACAGCTGATTGGCCTGATGGGCTTTGTTGACGATGGCCAGCGGCACGCGGAAGCTCAGCCACTTCAGGTTGCGCACCTCTTTGGAGAGCGTGATGATCTCGGGCAGGAAGTTGACCTTGAGCTTGAGCACGGTGCCGGTGCGTCCGCGGGCGCGCGTGTTCTCGATGGTGAAGATGCGGCCCGACACGCCCAGGTTGCGCTGCTGCACCTTCTTTGCCCAGTCGTCGAAGATCTCCTGCGTGTTGAGCTTGGCGCGGAAGCTGTCACCGTCCTGCTTGAGCTTCAGACCCTCCACGTGGTTTTCCCAGCCCTTCCCGAGGACGTCTTCCACGCGCTTCATGTAGGCCGTCAGCTGCCGGTCGATCTGCTTGGCCCAGATGATGGAGCCGGAGACGGGAGGCAGGTCTCGCACGTGGCTCATCTTGCACGACTGGCTCTGAGGATACTGCACCTTGAACTTGTCGTGCAGAGCCTCGATGTCGTCTTTGACGCGCTGGATGAGCTGCGTCTGGTACTCTCGGATGGCTCCGCGGATGTGCGGCCGCACGAACAGGGCGTTGAAGCGGGAGAAGATGCGGAACATCTCGTTGGCGTTCTTGGCGGTGCCCAGCTGGTCTCGCAGGCGTGCCGTGATGCGTGTCTCCACGCGGTCGATGCGCTCGTCGTAGCGCTTCATGGCCGCTTCCCAGGCCTCCACTCCCTCCTTCGAGACGTCCAGTCCGTCCACTTCCTTCACGTTTTCATAGGCCAGATTGACTTCCTCGATGGCGTTGACGTCTGCGGCATCGAAGAGCACCTCGGCCACCTTCATATCGTCGGGCTCGGCCGTCTTTCCCTGAGCATGCTGGGACACGGCGGACACCTGGAGAGAGGCAGTCTTTCATTAGTTTTAATGCACCCAGACTTTTACACATCTGATACAACTCGAGCTGATTTTTGTGCACGTACGATTGGAATCCCATTTAGTAAGTGTGGATGGCAAGACAAAAACGCATGAAATGTTTTTACAAATATGTTTCAAGCTACATTCATATGTGGTTTTAAATTCTGTGCCTCATAAGTCGCCAAGGCAACATGTTGTTACATTGTAAGAACATCTGTATTGTAGCTGTTTTTTTATGTCAGCACACCAATGCAACATCACTGCCACAGAAATCAATGAAGATATTGTAAACTGGATCTGAAGCGTTGTGATACAAAGTGTGGACCGTCAATCAGACTCCAATCGGATGCACAAATAATCAGATTTCAGAATCAGGGACTGACAGTGTAAATGTAGCTGAAGGGACAAACCCTAATTTGAGGATTGTCTCTTCTGTTCACGTCTGTAGCTTTATGTTAATGCTTATATATTAATATGAACTAAAACGTTTCTGATAAGACGATGTCATCTCAATCCTGTCTGTTGTGTCACAAACTCAGTTTGAGGCTTGTCAGGAAACAATCTGATTAATGAAGGCTGGTCAAAAGAATGACAGATCAGAACAATCGCATCCAGAAGGCGTCAGAGTCATACCTGAGGTCTGAGCACGCGAACGATGACGGCTCTCAGCTGCTCGTGTTGCCGTCTGAAGCGCCGCATGTGGTCCAAGCGGGCCTGGAGCTTCCGGTGGGCCGGACTGAGACGCCACACCATCTTCAGATTCTCCTCCCTCTTCCTCTTCACAATGTCCCTCAGGAGCACCTGCAGCTTCTCGTCTACAAATATACCCCAGCGACTTAACACTGCTTTTGTGCTGCAGGGTCACATGTATTAGAATGTACTACAATCGTAGATTAGGAAATCGCCAACAAAGCTTAACCTCAAACTGACGGGGGAAAGTCCTTCATCAGAGGGTTGTAGTCGTTCACCGTCTCCACAGCCTGCTTCAGGCCTGAGAGAGAAACACACCAGAGCGTTCACAAGCGTGCAGCATCATGGAGATGGTTCTCGGACAGACGGCTCACCTGTGTCGGTGTCGAAGCTGACCGTGGCGTGGAAGCGTTTGCCGTGTTTGAGGATGTCGAGCGTCAGCAGCACCTCCGGACTCTCCCTCTTCTCCTGGATGCGGTTCAGGGCTCGCTCCAGGTTCAGCCAGAAGCTGATCTCCTGCAGAGCCGTTCCAGACGCAGGGTCTCGGTCCAGTTTAGTCACCTGAAAGAAACGAGACAAACCTGAAATCCTGATCGACCGTAGGCTAGGCCTGCACACATCATCAGGGGCTAAGAACAGAACAATTCAGAGAACCTTTAGACAAAATCAAAATGAAAAAAAAAAAAAGTTTCCATTTGCGTTTTATATTTTGTATCATATTTGCTGCATGAGAATATGAATGAAAAAAACAGCACACTTTATTCAGAGACTCAAACGGAGCAAAAACATGCAATTTTGTGCAGATGCTGATATTTACATGGCCAAAAAAAAAAAAAAAGTTGAAATTCATATCCTAACGTAAATTTATAACTGCATTTATTTTAGCGAACTACTTTGGCAAAATAACATATCAGCGGTCACTCTTTGTCTCCCAATTTTGCAATGTAATGTTTCGTCATTAATGCTGGGTAAAAGATGACGTCAGTAAAAGCTCTGCTGTTTTCTTCACCCAGAAAGAATGAGGCTTCAAATTAAACTGAAAACTGATTTGATGCACTAATTATTAGGCTTGTGATTCGTGTGGGGAAACTATCAGGAAACCATTTCAGGGTTTTTGTACGTCTGCACCAATACCAGTAAACATCACAATACTGCAGTTCTGATTTACATAACATTTAATTGAATTTCTACAACTTTTATTTATATAAACCAGCAGGCTGAGTAAATAAGATGGAGCCTAGGCTCTCCTAACTGGACGAATGTGAAGCGTGATCATGACACATCATACTTTCTTAGTGAGGTATCTGCCGATCGCCAGCCCTGTTTTTAATTGCAGTAGTTAGTACGGTGATGTCCTCTGAAGGTCAGCGAGTCTCAAACCTTCTGTATCTCCCGGATCCAGCGGTTGACTCCAGACTGCAGCTGGTTCAGGAAGCTGGGATCCTCTACTTTATCCCCGAAGTCTGTGACCTTGGGCTTCTCTGCGCGCTCGTAGCACTGCTTGGCCACGTTGGTGATGATGGGGTGGATGAGCAGGCTGATCTCGGGGATCTCGATGTTCTGCTGCAGGTGCAGTAAGCCCATCTCCAGCTCCGCGATCTTCTTCTCCACCGAAGGGGCCATCTTATCGCCATCCCTGCGCAGACACACAGACACGATGAGGCACGGCTTGTGTGTGTGTGTGTGTGTGTGTGTGAGGATGAGACGCGTTACTCTCTCGTTACCTGTCGGCTTTGCCAGACTCTCGGATGTAGGATTTGAAGTACGGAGACACAGCATTGCTGATGAAGGAGTGCAGCGTCTCGTACGGAGAGTCTTCGCTCAGAGTCAGAACTCGCACCTGAGTGGAGATGGGTTTGTCCGCATCAATCACTCCGGTCCGCTTGATCAGGGCCAGGCTGAAAGATCAAGATCAGGTGTTTCTGATCAGAACACGACAAGACCACATCGGAGTCACCAGCTCACGCTCTGCGCTCGTTACCTGTTTGATTTGAGCCCGTAATGGATGTCGATGCTGATGCTGTAGGAAATGCACTCGCGCTCCTCCTCACCTTCATCACCTACATCCTCTGCAGAACAACAACAAACAACCAGCTGTTTGTGATAAATCAGCTCGTCTTTATTTGAACATTCAGCACATCGTCTGACGTGAACACAGCAGCCAAATAAATAAAATCAGCTGTAGACATGTGCCGGTATTTGGTAATACGATATATAACGGCACTTCAAAAGTACCGTGAATAATTATTTATTACAAATTATTTAGATTTTTTGAATGCATTTTAAGAATGCTTTTCGCATCAGCTGGTTAAAATGCACAACACCGCTGTATGCTGCGTCAAACACACATGCGCACTCTGATGAGAACAAGCCCAACACGGATGAGACGCGCTGAATGAAAGCACATTCACTCACGGACAGCAGGTGGCGCTGATGGAACAGCAGAAATGCAGCCGTTTCCCCAGAAACCCCATAAACACAGCTGCTGCTGCTACTTTGTGTCACTGATGCCAGGTCCTCGGTTTTCCCGCGGAATCGGGTTACTTTAACACTGTTGCCGTGGGTTGAAGCGACTCTAATAACCTGATATTTAACCCCCGGAACGCGATTTTTAACGGGGAACCCCTCCTTGAAACACGATTGGGCTAGTTTTGAGTAGCAATTGGGCGGGTTTTGTACCTAGCAACCCTGCTGAACAGGACTTAAATGATTCAAACAGCCATTCAGATTTTTGTATTCGCTTTAGTGTTCATTGCAGCACTGAATACTTGCATAATTAGATTTCATAGGCTATTTATCATCAAACATTTTAATCTGGATGCCCTAGATATGCCCTTTCCATTAAGGCTCCTCCATTAGTTAATTCTTCAATTAACATGAGATCTTATTGTAAAGTGTGACCTATTGTTCTTTATAATTCTTTCGCACTTTAATCTGTTTGAAACATTTCCTTTACACATTTTAGTTTTTTTATTGTATTTAAATGTTCAGTTGTTATTGTTATTAGAAAAAAAGGTATTAAACCTGTTAAAATACTGTATTATGACAACATTTTTTGCAACTTATTTCAATACCGTGATAAATGCTAAGCCTGATACCGTCACATGCCTAACTTGGCTGCTGGTGTTTGTGTTACTGCCTGGAGTCTGAGCACAAGCACAACAGCACTACAGTTAAAACAAGAACACATTCACACACAAAAGAGCAGAGCGTCGTTATGTCGCGTTCAGAGCGCTTCACTGACGCACAGGCTTTATAGATCGTGACGTCACTGATCTGCAGTGCAGCAAACACGCCCTGAACGCGCATCGATCACTTATTACTGACTTTCACCACAGATTTAATCAGCCTCTTTACACCAGTTTCTGAAATAAACACATGGTGAACTTTAATTTTGAAATTTGACAGTAGCGACTCAAACAGGGCGGGGTTACACAAACCCTGCGACGATTATATGCAATAAAATATCACGCGATCGATGACAGTCACAGCAAAACCGCGCCCAGATATCGAGATGCACGTAATCTGAGTTTAATCACACGTGTGAGCGACTTTAACCCTTAACGTGCGTTTAATGCATGATCATGCCGTGCGACTTTTAACCTTTCAGCGCGCTCCGCTCCACCAGGATCGAGTGAATCTGAGGATCCGAGAGGAACTTCCTCATCTGCTCCAGCGCGCTCTTCTCCTCCAGCGCGGTCTCTAGAGAAGCGGGAGCGTCGCCGCCATCTTCCAGCAGCAGCGGCACCAGCTTTCGGAAGTGTTTCTGCAGAACCGACGCGTCCGCTACCGTCTGCACGGCGGCAGAGACCTCCATCCCGCCGCCGCCGTCCTCTCCTCCGCCACTGTCAGACATTTCCCGCCGCAACGAAGCGCAAAGAGCCGATGACGGAGCTGTGAGAGAGATCCGGTGTATCACGGACTCCGACACATCACCGGAATGACCAGCGCCCCGCGCGTCGACGATCTTTATTGTTTCACGGAAGTCTGGGATATGTAGTTTTTCCACCAGCGGAGCGAACGAGTGAACGTGACACGAGAACTACAAATCCCAGAAAGCCGAGAAGCGTCAGACGCGCTCGCGTCTCTACTGCAAATATAAGAAAAAACAAACAAACAAACAATAAAATAAACAATACATATGAAAATAATGTCATGGGTGCCCGTTATAATATTAATATCATATCAGCTGATGCTAGTGATACAGGTGAATTTGTATTTTACTGATATAATGATTCTTATAAAGTGTCAGACTGATTAAAAGTCTTTTTTTTGGCAACATAAACACAGAAGCATTTTAGTTAATATTATAACATAGGTTTGTGCTATCGAATTTTACATTTAGTCTGGGACAGTGTTGCCAAGTCCTCTGTTTTCCCGCGGAATCGGGCTACTTTAACGGTTTAGCCCCTGGAATGCGCCAAAAACGTGTATTTTACCCCGGAACGCAATTTGGGCTTGTTTTGAGCATGGTTTTGAGTAGCAATTAGGCGGGTTTAGTTGTGAAAATCTGGCAATCCTGGTCTGGGGCATATCGCTTACTTTCTAAACCAAGGTTTTTATTGACTTGTACCTTCACTAAACCTGAACAATACCTCACATTAACTCTAAACCTTTAATCTGAGCTGTACCGAATCTGCAGGTGAGCGATTGCCGTCACGTGACTCGCACCTGTCAATCAGCGCCGAGCGCTCGCGCAGAGCTGTCACTCACGATGCCGCACAAGTCAAAGAAAGGCAAGGTAACGCTTCAGAAGTTCTTCGATAGATTAACTCTTACATGCGTAGATAATCTTTTAGGTAGATTAACTCAGTTAACTTGTATCTGTCTGTCTGTATCTTGTTCTGTCATATAAATCAATATAAATGTTAAGTCTGAGAGATCCAGCAGAAGGGGAAGCAAACAGCATGAAGATGATCAGGACTCTGAAAATGAGGTAAATACTGAGTATTAGGAAGAAAAGTGGTAAACTTTCAGATGCTTTGACTTTGTATCATCTCATGTTAGATTTTTAGAAATATACATAGTGCCCAGTTATGCCAGTTTTAACATTATTCAGCCATAGGCTACTGTACAAACACTGTTTTTCTACGTTAGGAATAGATTATATGCTTAATATCAATATTCAAAAATGGAAATTAATATTATTTATTATTAGCACAGTTCTTTATATAAGATCTCAATAATTTCAGTTGATTTGCTTTTAAATACCAGTTCATTTGATTGTATTAATATTAACGAGAATCAGTTTTATAAGCATTTCCAGAGTCATGCTGGTAAAATGACAACATTTAACAGAGCTGACGCTGAAATATGAACTGCAGATTATCATACTAGTATTTCTGCCATAGAACGATACTGTCTGTAATTCAGCACGACTCATCTCATTCTGCTGGGAATATAACACAGATCCGTGGATAAATGATCCCAGCATCCTTCCTCCAGCAGGAAGTCAGGGCTGTAACAGGAACCTGCTCTGTGTGACTCTGGTTTCAGAAGAAGAGCGTGGGCTCCAGAAAGCCTCCCAGCGCTCAGCTGCTGCGCTCCAAGCAGCCGTGTGTCCCGAGCGCGCTGAAGAAACACCGCAGACTGAGTGCCTCGTGTTTCCCCGTCAGCCTCAACCGAGAGCTGCTGCCGCTGGACACGCTCACAGGTGCTGAGAGAGAGAGCCAGAGGCGTTACCAACACACCCGCAGCAGATCGAGCAGATTGAAGCGTCTGTCACAGCAAATCAACACATGCTGTTGTGAATAATTAAGTGAAGCGTCTTCTCATAGGATAAGAACTCGCAGTCTCATGAATAATTTAATAGACACAGATGCGTCATCGATGTACTATTAGTCCATTGCCACGTCACAAATTGTGACGTCAACACGATGTAGATTTTAAACCCGGAAGATGAAAATAGCGCAAAAAAGCTTAAAATTAACCAGTTTTCTCCAACAGTTAAAATTATGGGATTCTAACATTGTCTTCTATGATGTGCAACACAAACACCTCTGCTAAAATCTCAGAAAAAGTAGTTTGGGGTTTCATGACCCTTTAA